TCCCACACTCCCTGTATGGCTGATGGTGAAGGTGCAGGGCCAACAGAACATTGCCACAACTCTGCAGGCTGCAGGCCTGTTTCCTCCCTCATTTAATACCCCAGAACCCGAAAACGCCTAGAAGCCACACAGCTGTGGATTCTTCTGCTACTGATAAAGACTTCTTTTAAATGAGTCATTTCCTTCAAAAAAGAGGAAAAACTGTTTTCACATTGTAGCAGAAATATCCACCCCCACCCTCAAATATACATCCTGTCTGACCCTGCTCAAGCCCCCAAACACTATGCCAGGAAGCACCAGTTGCTGGAGGGCCTTGCATCTGGCCTTAGGTTCCTTGTTGATATAGGGACCTGAGGTCACAACTGACCGCAGGGAACCACCTGCCAGAGGCCTGTTCACTTAGTCTGGTGGAACATACATGCCTCCTCAGAAGTTGGCCATCCACCTGGTTGTCCCCCATTTTTCCAGTGGGGCCTTCATTTCTGTCTTGTTCTGTCTGTCCTCCTTCCCTACCAGGCTCTCTCTTCTCTGCCCTTAGCTATCTTGCTCTTTCCCTTATCACCTCTTTTATTCTTCCTTCATTCTTTTTTTTTTTTAATTTTTTTTTTTCTTTCAACGTTTATTTATTTTTGGGACAGAGAGAGACAGAGCATGAACGGGGGAGGGGCAGAGAGAGAGGGAGACACAGAATCAGAAACAGGCTCCAAGCTCTGAGCCATCAGCCCAGAGCCTGACACGGGGCTCGAACTCACGGACCGCGAGATCGTGATACATAGGTTTCCATTCTTGATTTCTCTCCTATTCAGGTGGCCCTCTGCTATGAGGGTTGCTTGCTAGCTGCCCAGTAATAAGCTGAACCATCCCTGTGCCCTCCTCTGACCAATCCCAGAGCTTGGGCTGGGTCAAGCTCAGGCTCCTTGGATTTTCCTGCCAACTAGATAATATATTCCTATTTTTTATCAGCTTTATTGAGCATAGTCACATCCAATAAAGTTCAGCGATTTTAAGTACACAGTTCAGTGACTTTTGGCAAATGCATAAATGCATATGATGACTACCAAAATCAAGACATAGAACACTTCCATCACCCCAGAAAGTTTTTTGCCATCAGTCAATCCTCTCCCCTCACTCCTGGCCATTGGCAGTCCTCCATCTGTTTTCTGTCACTAGTTTGGGTATTTTCAAGAATGTCCTACAAATAGCAAAGTAGAATATGTAGTCTTATGTGTCCTGCCTCTTTTACTTAGGATGATGTTAAGATTACCCATGCCATTGCATGCATTGCTGAGGAACATTACCCTGTGGTTTTACCACAATTTGTTTATTCATTCACCAGTTGATTGGCATTTGGGTTGTTTCCAGTTCAGAGCTAAAATGAAGAAAGCCGCTAAGAACATTCATGTCAAGTCTTTGTATGGACGTATGTTTTCACTTTACTTTGATAACTGCTTGTGAGTAGGGTTGCTAAGTAGTGCATAAGTGTATATTTAACTTTATAACAGACAGCCAACTTGTTTTCCAAAGCAATGGCACCATTTTACTTTCCCACCAGCAGTATGTAAGAGTTATAGTTGCTCCACATTCTCACCAACACTTGGTATGGTCAGTCGTTTTCATTTTAGCCACTTTCATAGATGTGTAGTGGTATTTCATGGTAGTTGTAACTCGCATTTTCCTGATAATTACTGGTGTTGAGCATCTTTTCATGTGCTTCTTGGCCACTCAATCTCCTTTTGTGGTATCTTTTACCCATTTTTTATTGGATTGTCGTTTTCTCTGTGGGTTGTAAGAGTTTTCTGATATTTTTTCATCTGCCTTTTCTTCTTTCTTCCTCATTCTATCCCTCTGGCTCTGTTTTTTCTCCCACTGTGTCCCGGTCCCAGTTTCTGACACCTCCCCCACCCCCAGAACTGTCCACTGTCTCCCCTTCTCTCCTCCCTCCTTCTTGGCCTCTTTCCTCCTTGTTCATGGATGTTCTCCCTTCACCTCCAAGACATCTCAAAACCTGAGAATCTGGCCTCATTTCCTCTTCCATATTAGAAAGAACCCACTAAACACAAGCCCACTGATTTCAGTCCTGGCCAGGTTCAGTGTTCCAAATAGGAGGAAGGACCCCCCCCCCCTCCAAATGAAGACTGAGAGAAGTAAAAAGACATAGCCTAGTGTAATGGAGGGATGGCTTTGCATTCTGACATCTTTCTCTTCCCTAAATGATTAATAGTGTTTATAGATAGAAGGGCTTATTTTACTCAAGCCTAACACTGGAAAGTCATGGGTGTTAAGTGCATCCTGCTTAATCAGTGGTCCAACAGTCTCCACAAACATAAGATTAATTGTTCTCATAACAAGGCTCTCCCTTGGCACAAGTCCCAAGCCCAGCAGGGATTTGTTTTGTCGAGTCACAGGGAAGGAGTAGCCCAGCCCAAAGCTGGCGAACTTTTCTTCTCTCTTCAAGAGAACTGGTGTGACAATATTTGATTGCAAAGCACAAAGCACTTTACACAGTGATAGAGAACACAAGATGGGTGACTGTGGAATTTTTTTTAAGACCTTGCTGAGATATGCCTCACAGGCCATGCAGTTCACTCATTTTAAGGTGTACAGTTCAGGGGCACCTGGCTGGCTTAGTCAGAAGAGTGTGCAACTCTTGATCTCAGGGTCATGAGTTTGAGCTCCACATTGGGTGTGGAGATTACTTTAAAAAGTATATAATTATGTGGGGTTTTTTTTATATTTTTATTTATTTTTGAGAGGGAGAGAGACAGTGTGCAAGTCGGGGAGGGGCAGAGAGAAAGGGAGACACAAGATCCGAGGGAGGCTCCAGGGTCCGAACTGTCAGCACAGAGCCCAATGCGGGGCCCGAACCCGGGAACCTCAAGATCATGACCGGAGCCAAAGTCGGACATCCAAATGACTGAGCCACCCAGGCGCCCCGGTGTTTTTTTAAATAGAGTCACAGGTATGTGCAACCATTACCACAACTTTATATCATTTCCTCACCTCCAAAAGAAATCCTGTACTCTGTGACCAGCACTCCAACCCCTTTTCATCCCCAACCCCTAATCTACTTTCTATCTTTACAGATTTGTCTATTCTGGACATTTCACATAACCGGAATTATATAACACTGTCTTTTGTACCTGGCTCCTTTCATTTGGTGTAATGTTTTCCAGGTTTATGCATGTTCTAGCACGTCTCAATACTTCATTCCTGTTATGGCCGAATAACATGCCACTGTACAGATACACCACGTTTTGTTTGTCCATTCGTCAGTCAGTGGGCGTTGGGGTTATTTCCACCCTTTGGCTATTATGAATAATGCTGCTCTAAACATTTGTGTACTAGTTCTCACGTAGACGTATGTTTTCATTTCTCCTGGGTATGGACTAGGAGTAGACTTACTGCATCATATGCTACTTCTGGTTAATCATTCAAGGAACCAGCAGACTATTTTCCAAAGGAGCTACACCCTATTACCTTCCCACCAGCAACTGCATCAAAGTTTCAGTTTTCTATACTCTCACCAACACTTGTTATCTGTTTGGAATGGTTTTTTGATCCTGCAACTATAGCTTCGAAACGTCAAACATACATGCACAGCACACATATATTTAGACAATCATCACCAGAGAACACACACAAAACTACCAAGTCATGCATACCGGCATATACCAGCACATACCTCTAGAGTTCACATATGTATACATAGAACCCTGCATAGACATTTACAATCACAAGCTCATGTACAGTCACAGTGCACATGCCTGTCAGTGCATAGACTCACATGTGGGAATGTCATCAGATGTACAGTAGACCAGTGCTGTCACACATGTGCATACGATTGTCATGGGTTGTGAACAAGCATGCACACAGAACCAGAGACATGTGCACTCAATAACGCATTCACTCTTGCCTGAACACACATATACAAATGACAGTTGTGCCCACAAAAGCAGAGTCCTAAAAAAGGCACACATATATAGTTATCATCACTTACGGGGGTGGTAACTGAACATAAATTGAGTGTATTTACTCTGGATGACAAGGAGATGATTGAGATTACCTTCATCCTTGGTGTACTGGGTAGGAAGATGTTTTCATTCATTTATTTGTTCTTTAAGCTACAAGTGTATATTGGGCACATAGAAAACACAGTGATGAACAAGACATAGTCCCTGCCCTCATGGAACTTATAGTCTAGTGGTGGGGCAGTCAACTGTGGTATGTGTCAAGAAGGAAATAAATAAGGTAATATGATAAATAGGCAAGGTGCCAGGATAGTAGTTTCCAAGTATTTTTAGCAGCGTTGCTCACTCTTTTGTCCTGGCGAAGTGAACACTATTCAGATTCACCTTCCATAAGTCACTGGATAAACTGGTGTGTGTGTGTGTGTGTGTGTGTGTGTGTGTGTATGTATGTGTGTGTGTGTATTAATACTAGCATTATTAAGAGTGTGGGCTCAGGACCTAGACTACCCTGGTTTAAAATTTGGTTTCTTTCAAATTGGGTGATCCGCAAATTCTCATCCGCAATTAGGGATGCCCATAGTACCTTTAGTAAGGATTAAATTAGCTGATACTTGTAAAGCACTGAAAAGTGCCTAGCCAGTGTCAAGTTCTCATTAGTAGCCATGATATCATTTTCTGAATGTAAGTTTCCATAGAGGGAGCAAGTGCACTGGGAGGTGGGTCGGGAGAGGCTGGGGGAATAGATCAAGGAGCCCAGTAGTGTCCTGTTGACCAGCGACTGGATGAGTCTTCATCTTCTACCATGTTGGAGCAGTCGTTGGGAAGACAGCCCTGGCATGACACCCTGGCAGGCCATAAACCAGTCCATCCCCACCTAACTGCCTCCAGCCACAAACCACAGAGAAGATGCATGATGCGTGGCACTGGGCAAGGCTCTTGGTTTCCAGCTGCATCGGGCCTTTCTGCAGCAGCTCTGCTGTGGGTCTGGCGTGTAGCATTCACTGGTTCTGCTTGGCTGTCTTTTCTGTGTAGGTCAGCACTTACCATCCCATACCTGGCTCCCCAGGACATTCCGCGACCATCGTCAATCTGTCCAGCTCCCAGCAACACCTCTCAGCAAACATGTGAGTAACAAGCTCAGCTCTCCACCCCGGGTCCTGGCCAGAGAGGCCGCTTTTGCCACCCCTCTGCCTTCAAGCATCACCACTCCCAGACCATCCCATACAAAGAGACAACAAATCCCCTTCCTTATATCCTTCAAAGGAAATAATGCTGAAAAACAGATTGGCAAGCCACATCATCCTAGCTCATTATTTTACAAAAGTAGAAAGGACCTGGAAGATTAGACACCAAAACATTGCTGGGAGATTGGATACTGAGCAATTTCTGTTGTCTTCTTCTAGAATCAAAATGTTGGGTCATAAATAGATGTTGAAATATAGCATTTTGGTGGAGGGAAACCCTGTAGAAGAGAATACCCTGCCCAGCCCCTTTGATAAAACCTTCCAGTGTCTCATAGTCCTTGGAGCCTAGAAGGACTTCTTGATGTCCAGCCTGAGGCCATACATTGGTAACCTGAATCTGGCAAGCCCACATGGGTTACTTTTAATGCTTTTAGTCAAGCATATATTCTCACTTCCACACCCTCGCTGTGTCTTCACCCCTGGCTCATAACTAGATGTTATCTGCCTGACGCCTGTGTAGACTGCAAACTGGAAAGTCACGACTCTAACCCAAGGACATTTTGCCATGTTACAAATGCATCATCGCCCTCCATCCGGCCATGCAGCCAGGATTCCACTGTCTGCTAACAAACTAAAATCAACTCCTACCTCCCCTCCCCAATGTCTGCTTCCCTACATTAAGCTAGCTCCTCTGGCCATTCCTGGCAATCAAATGTGCCCCCGCTCTCAGCAGAGGGAACGGATCAGAGAGTCTTCTGTTCTGACCTCTCCTTTCCCTTCACTTGCTGGCTGCAAACATGTTCTGGGGTGATACATTAAGCAGTATGAAAAAGCATCCTGGGCAGAGCCATAACTTCTAGGTTTGAGACCAGGCTCTGCCACTAATTCTGGGTCACCAACTCCTTTCTCTATCCTAGTCCAGTTTCCCCATTGTCAAAACGCCAAGGTGGCCTAAATTAGTGATCTGAAGCTGTGTGGCACTCTGTGGAAAAGCAGGGATGTTGGCCTGTCCAGTGCTACTTCTATCACTATAGGTTCCATCACTATCACCTGCCTTCCGTACCGACATTTCACCCTGAAGAAGTTAGTTATTTCTAACCACTGGGTCAGTGGTTCCATTTCCCTTCACTCTTTGCTGTCTCCATGCCCTCCTCCAGGCACGTTCCCCTTCTTCACCCAGTTCCCTTGTCTCCCCAGGTTTGTGGCCCTGCACTCCTACTCAGCCCATGGACCCGATGAGCTGGACCTACAGAAGGGAGAAGGCATCAGGGTCCTGGGCAAGTACCCAGACGGCTGGCTCAGGGGTGTCTCCTTGGTCACTGGGCGGGTTGGCACCTTCCCCAACAACTATGTCATCCCCATTTTCAGGTGCGTGCCCTCTATTCTCAGGCAGCGGAGGTCGGGTCCACTAGGCCCGGGGCCATCTGTGGTTTCACTGCTCAAGGACTCAGTGCTCCTTCGGAGCGTAGGCCAAGAAATGGCCTTAGTAACCCCCTAACACTTTTTTTTTAATTGTAGAAAGTTATCTTTTTTAGAGTTCTTCACATTTTACAGCACTTTCACATCTTTTATTTAACTCATTGGATGTGTTCAAGAGTCCTTCCTGTAAGGGAGATGTGATTTTACAGATGAGGAAAGTGATATACAGAGTTAAGCAACCTGCTCAAGAGCTGGGTTTCAGGTTTTCTATAGTACGAACCCCCAAAATCCCATTCCTATCCTGCACCCCAACTCTCCTGTATAGCCGAATAATGGGAGCCTGTGATAATCAGAAGACCCCTCAGAGCACTTCAGGAAACTTCGTAAGACACTAGGCCAGTAGGCAGAGTTTCCATGACTCAGACCACGACCTGTCCATCCACACCCCAGGCCAAAGGCTGGTTACCCTGTAGGTCCCTGTCCCTAACAGCGTTCCCAACTTTTTTCATTCTCCAGCACACCCGACCCTTTCACTTAAACCACCACCACAGATCCCTGCACTGCCCATGGCTCCGCCTTCCTCCATCCCACATCCACCCAGGCACAGCCTGTCACAAGGCAGTGAGGCCATCCCCACACATCAAACACTGTCTCTATGACATAACTCCAAGGAAAGTGATAACCCATTGTACTCTCTGGGGGGGGGGGTCAGAGCTGGAGTCCTATGTCCAGTTTGGGGGAGCTTCATAAAGGTGGGGCACAGTGTCCGGAGGAGGGCCACAAAGATGGTGAGGAGACAGAACACTACACCACAGTAGACAGTCATAGAAACACTTGGGTAAAGCTACAGAAGACAGGGTCAGAGGGACCATAACAAGCCATGGAGACAGGAAATCTGTTCCATGAGGGGAAAGTGAACCAGTGGATACAACTTAGAAGTTGGATCCGTAAAAGTTTGCACTTTCTAACACATAGATTTTTTTCCAATAAGGTTGGCTGGTGAGGTGGTAGGACCCCCTTTCTAGGAAGAGTACAGGCAAAGTCTGGGTTTCCATAGACCCAGGCTTAGATAAAAAGATTTATTCACATGGCAGAAAGTTGAACCGGAAGTTATCTCCTTCAGTGGAAGGTTCTTGGAATTTGTTAGAAAGTTGCAAAATCTCCAAAGGCAAACTAAGGGTGTCTATAGCTGATGCTGTAGGCAACAAATATTTATCAAGCATAAACTATGTGTCAGGCACCTTTTTAGACACAGGAGAAACACCAGTGGACAAAACACACAAAATCTCTGTCCACCAGAAGTTACATTCTAGTGGTACAGACAGATAATAAACAAGGTATATAAGTAATGCAAATGGTGTGTTAATGGTAAAGGCCAAGAAGAAAAACAAGAAAAGGATTGAATTAGTAGAGGTGGTGATTAAAATTGTAATAGGTTGGTCAGGGATGGCCTTACTGAGAAGAAGGAAATGAGGCAGGTGTATTCCAGACCAAGGAACAGCAAGTACAATTGCCCTGAAGTAGGAGTGAGCCTGACATGAAGACCAGTAGGACTGGTTTAGACCAAGTCAGGGGGATGTTAACAGGAAATGAGGTCAGAATGGTAACAGGTGAGCCAGATCATATAGAATTTCCTAGGTCATAATGAGGAATTGGCTTTAACGCTATTGCAAGGTTTTGAGCATAAGAGTGACATGATTTAACTTACATTTTAACCAAAATCCCTGTAGTTGCTGGGTTGAGAGTAAGCTGTAGAAAGGAAATGTGGAAGCAGAGAAACTAATTAAGAAGATACTGTAATACTCTGGGGGAAAAGTGATGGTGAATGGAGCCAAGGCATTAGCCAAGGAGGAAGGGAGAGGTGGTTAGATTCTGGATATACTCTGAAGGTAGACACCACAGGATTTTCTGACAAATCAAATATCGGGTGTGAAAGAATAGAGGAGTAAGGTGAGTCCTAGTTTTTTGCCCCAAGTAACTGGAAAATGGAGTTGCCTTTTACTGAGCTAGAGGGGGAAACCAAGAGGAATGGGTTCTGAGATGTGAGGGGAAGCAAAAGCTAAGTTTCCAGCAGATTAAGTCTTAGATGCCTGTTAGCAGTCCTGGTAGAGATGTTGGCAAATGGTTGACTATACAAGCCCAGCATTTAAGGAAGAAGGTCCAGGCTTGAGAACGTATTTAAAACCCTAGGACTAGATGAGACCATTGTGGTAGGATCAATTGCATTAGAGAGAATGACAGTGAGCCAGAAGCCAAATTTTATGTGTGTGTGTGTGTGTGTGTGTGTGTGTGTGTGTGCGCGCGTGTATATAATTTACTGTCAAGTTAGCTAACATACAGTGTATGCAGCACGCTCTTGGCTTCAGGATTAGATTCCCTTGTTCATTGCTTACATATAACACCCAGGTCCCAACAAATGCCCTCCTCAATGCCCATCACCCATTTTCCCCTCCCCCCCACCCCCATCAACCCTCAGTTTGTTCTCTGTATATTTAAGAGTCTCTTATGTTTTGCCTCCCTCTCTGTTTGTAACTTTTTTTTTCTTCCCTTCCCCCATGGCCAGAGGGTAAAATCTTCATGGAATGAGTGGAGAGAGGCTGAGAGAGGAAATGGTGACAAAGTGATGCGACAGGTGGTCAAGTCTGATACTATGAGTCAAAGCTGGGAAGGATTGAGGAGGGTGGGGGAATGGTCTAGAGGTGCCAATGAAGAGCAAGAAGGATATCTACCCTAACTCAGGAACACTTTCTTCCATGGGATCTGACATCAATTCTGTAAGGCCCATGTCTGCTACTAAAGCATTTGCTTATGCATCACGCCTTAGCCCAGTGTCCTGGTTATTCCATGAAAACACCATTAG